CACCACAGCCCCACCACAGCAGCACTCGCCTTGGGCTGGGCAATCCCCAGCGCCTCGAAGAGCTCAGGGTGCTTGACGGGCAGCTCGATCACTTCCTTGATCTCCTTTATCTGCTTGTCCAAGCCCCCGATCATCTCGTAAGTGGAATCCGGAACCTTCTCCACCATCATCAGGGAGACGAGAGGGTCCACTTTGTTGGGCAGGATCTTGTGCAGCGTGTAGCTGTCGTTGCGCAGGGCCACGCGGCAGTTCGGGGTCACCTGCGGTGAGAGCAGGGGGGGCTCAGCACCCCGCGGCAGGGAGGGGGCAGGCAGCCCAGAGGGAGCAGTCGCGTGTCCCCCCACCCCCCGGCCCCAGGACACTCACGTCGTTAATGTCGATGTTCTTATCCACGTCCACCACAAACTTCCCCTCCGGGTGCACCTGGAACGCAGCAGTTGCCACCGTGAGAGTTCAGAATCACAGAATGTTCGGGGTTGGAAGGAACCTCTGTGGGTCATCTAGTCCAGCCCCCCTTGCCTGATATCCACACAGACTGCTCGGAGCGGGAGGAAGGAGCCAGAGAGCTTGGCCACTGCCGAACACCCTGCAGTCCCTCCTGCCCCCAGCAAATCCTCAGCCAGCCATCTCCCACCAACCTGGGGAGGGTTTGGGCCCAAGAGAGCCACCACAACGTGGTCCTCTGGAGAAACAGCTCTCACTTCACGTCTTTTAGTTGTTACATCATCCCAGAACTTGTGCTCACGCTTGCTCCAACCCCTGTGTGGTCAAGGGAAGGGTCTGTCCGACCCCACCCCGCTCACCCCTGCCCCAGCTGCCCTCGGGCCAGCTCAGCCCCATACCTTGACGAGCACTTTTTTCTTGTCCATGGCTCTGACCACCTCTCCCACATAGGAGCCCTGCTCCTGCAGCAGCTGCAGCTCCTCCCGCAGCAGGCGCACTGTAAAGAGAGAGACATCAGCACCAGGAACAGGCACCCGTGCCCTGACCCCTGCCAACGATGGAGGGGCAGCACTGGCCACGGTGGGCAGGAGCCACCGGCCCTGCAGGAAGGACCAGGCACAGAGTCCTGGGTGAGGAAGATGAGGGAAGCCAAGCTGTACCTTTAGCATTCAACTCATTTCTCTGCGCTTGCAGGCGCCGCAGATTCTGGCTCTTCTCATTCACGATAAGCTGTTGGGAAAAAAGCTTTGCTGAGTCCTCAGCATCCCATGCCGCGCTCACATCAACCCAGCGTGGGCACCAGCACAACGGCCTCGGGACGTGCACCTGGAGAGGGACAGACCTTCCCAGCAGGACATGGCCAACCAAACCCTGCTGCCAAGGGCCGGGCAACACCTTGCACACAGGCAGTGGTGCTGCCAGCTCGCAGGACTAAGACTCATCTCACTCGCCCCCACACCCAAAGGCTGGGTCTTGCCTGGGGAGACCACCCTGGGGCAGTGCTTCCTCCAGAACAGGCCGCCCACAGCACAGAACAGGCCAGGGGTGCTCTCGAGGCAAGCACAGGCATAGGGACACGGCCACGCAGCCCCGTCTGGAAGCATGGCGATGCCGTTCTGGGACTGACCGCACGGCCAGGACTGGCTCACCTGCAGCTCCTCGATCTTGGACAGGTAGTACTGCCGGAGCCCTGTGCCGCCCTTCCCATCGTCCATCTCCATCTGCGAGAGAGCAGAGCTCAGCACCACCGGCCTCAGCCCCAAGGGCCCACCCGGAGCCTCCAAAACCACTGTTACCCTCCGCCAATCCCTGCGCTGACCCTCCGGTCCCCGCTTCCCCCTCCGACCTCCCCGCGTCAGGCCCTCGGTCCCCGCT